GAGGAGGGGCGGTGCGCCCTCTGCTGGCAGAGCTTGGTCCCGCCTTTCTCATCTCCGTCCCCCTGTGTCTTCTCTGCCCCAGAGCGCCGGCCCACGTGGACTGACCGTCGCCGTCGGGGCCCCCAGGACCGGGCCAGTAGTGGGGACGATGCCTGCAGCTTTTCTGGCTTCCGCCCGGCCACGCTCACTGTTACAAACTTCTTCAAGCAGGTGTGGTAGCCCCCAGGGTGGGAGCTGGAGGAGGGGTGGCCAGGGACTCCCCGATGGCTGCTTCCGCCCTGGGGACCTCCAGCCCCTGTCCCCGGCTCACAGAAACGTCCCATGCAGGAGGCCGAACGGCTTAGTGACGAGGACCTCTTCAAGTTCCTGGCTGACATGAGGCGCCCGTCGTCCCTGTTGCGGCGCTTGCGCCCAGTGACTGGTGCGTTGCACAACTACTAGCTGGGAGGTGTTATTCATATGCAGTCGGTCAACAAACCTCTACCGCGAGCTCCTACCACGTTAGGCACTGGGGACCCAACCATAGCCATGACAGACAAATCCTTGACCTCAGGGGCCAGATCTGGCGCGGTGGCTCGGCCTGTAATCCCAACACCTTGGGAGGCAAGAGGATTGCCTGAGCCTGGGGTTCGAGAACAAGCTAGCTGGGGGTGGTGGCATGCGTCTGTAGTTCCACTGCTGGAAGGCTGAAGTGGAAGGATTGCCCAGGCCCACCAGGTGGAGGCTGTGGTGGCCGTGAGCATGCCACTGCACTCGAACTTGGGCCACAAGAGTAAGACTCCAACTCCAAAAAAAAAAAAATGAAGTCAATAGTGGGTCACATGGGGACACGGTGGTGAGCAACAGGACCTGAGGACAGAGCTGATGGGACGTGTGGGCGAGAGTGGACTCCAGGGTGATTTCTGGCCTTGACCCCTGAAGGTCAGAGCCCCCAGAGGGCACGGCAGGGTGTTGCTGCCTGGTTCTGTAGACTAGGGCAGGTGGCCCGGCCAGGAGGCTCCAGGCAGGCGTGAACCGGCCCCTCCCTCCCCAGCCCAGCTTAAGGTCGACATTTCCCCGGCTCCTGAGAATCCCCACTTCTGCCTCTCCCCGGAACTGCTGCATGTCAAGCCCTACCCGGACCCCAGGGCCCGGCCCACCAAGGAGGCCTTGGAGTTCCCGGCCCGAGAGGTCTGCGCCCCCCACACCAGCTACAGGTACGGCACCATGCCCAGCTGGGCATTGGATGGGTTTTTCTGTTTGTTTTTGAGCCAGGGTTTCACTCGGTCACCCAGGCTAGAGTGCAGTGGCACAATCATAGCTCGCTGCAGCCCCGATCTCCTGAGTTCAAGTGATCCTCCCACCTCAGTCTCCCAGGTAGCTAGGACTACAGGCGCGCATCACCACGTCCAGCTAATTTTTTAATTTTTTGTAGAGATGGGGCCTCGCTATGTTGCCCAGGCTGGTTTTGGAATTGCAGGCGCGAACTGGGCACTTAAGTGGGCCACTCAGACATGGCACTAGATGGTCCTTGTCTCACTCAGACACACAGACACCCAGGGTGAGATGCCACTATGCTGCTTTAATGGGCTGTGTAGACACAAAAGGGTGCACATCCTTCCTCCTTCCTCTCCTCTTCCTTTCTGCGTCTTCTGGCTTTGTCCCCGCCTGCTTCTGTTTCTGTCTCTGCTCTGTGCCCGGAAGCGGAGACCGGCTCCCTGGCTGACCCCAGTGGACAGGGAGCTCCACCCCGCATGTGGGCCTCAGCCTTGCCGGATGCGTCCCTGGCTGCACGACTGGTCCTCGAGGCTGTCCAGGCAGGGTCAGGCCGGGAGCGCTGCTGTGTGGAGTCTGGGAAGGGAGGTCTGGCTTAGCCCAGGCAAGGGGCCCTTCCGGCAGCCCCGCCCACCACACCCTGCCAGGCTCACCTCTCCTGGATCTGTCGCAGTCGGTGCTGCTGGGCCGCCATTTCCCGACTCTGCCGTTGCACGTGGCCCATGAGGACCCACACGAGGTGACTCTGCTTGTCAGCATGAGCCTGTGGGATCAGATTGGAAACCTTAGTGGGTGGCTGCCTTCCCACCCTTGACCCTGGCCACGTGCCCCCCCTTGTGTCTGTGTGATCAGAAAAGTCACCAATACTCGGCCTCAGTTTCCCCCTCTGTAAAATGGAGATAAACAGGACTGATTTCATGGGTTGGTGATGAACATCATGGGGACTTTTATTTTTTGAGTCAGAGTCTCACTCTGTCGCCCAGGCTGGAGTGCAGTGGCACGTCCACGGCCACCGCAGCCTCGACCTGCTGGGCTCAGGCGATCCTTCCGCCTCAGTCTTCCAAGTAGCTGGAATCACAGGTATGCACCATCAGGCCTGGCCGATTTTTTGATTTATTGTAGAGATGAGGTCTCGCCTTGTTACTCAGACTGGTCTTGAACCCCTGGGCTCAGGCAGTCCTCTCACCTCTGCCTCCCAAAGTGCTGGGATTACAGGCGTGCGCCACTGTGCCCCACCGTCACGTGGTTTACTAAAGGCCATGGATCAGGCTGGGCGTGGTGGCTCATGCCTGTAATCCCAACATTAGGAGAGGCTGAGGCAGGAGGATCACTTGAGCCCAGCAGCTTGAGACCAGTATGTCTGGGCAACATAGTGAGATCTTGTCTCTACAAAAATTTAAAAAATTAGCCAGGCACGGTGGCACACACCGGTAGTCCTAACTACTCAAGAGGCTGAAGCAGGAGGATCACCTGAGCCCAGGAGGTCGAGGCTGCAGTGAGCTGTGATGGTGCCACTGTATTCCAGCCTGGACAGCAGAGTCAGACCCTGACTCAATAAATCATAACAATAGTAATAAAGAGCATATCAGCGGCCGGGCGTGGTGGCTCAGCCTGTAATCCCAGCATTTTGGGAGGCCGAGGCGAGAGGATTGCCTGAGCCCGCGGGTTCAAGACCTGCCTGGGCAACTTGATGAGACCTCGTCTCTAAAATAAATCACAAAAAACTAGCTGGACATGTGGGCGTGCATCTGTAGTTCCAGCTACTTGGAAGGCTGAGGTGAAGGGATTGCCTAAGTCCAGCAGGTGGAGGCTGCGGTGGCCATGAGCATGCTGCTGTACTCTAGCCTGGTGACAGAGTGAGACTCCAACTCAAAAAAAAAAAAAAAAAAAAAAGAACATATCAGTGCTGGGTATTTATTGGGCACTCAGAAAATATTACCTATTTCTCTAGTAGTAAGCATTTATTGAGCACATACTACGTGCCCACCTCATGCTGAGCATTTTGTCTGCGTTGAGTGCCTTTATTGGCTCTGCGATATCAGTCGTCACCCTTGTTTGGAGATGGGGAAACTGAGGCATGGAAAGGGGCATGGGTTTTGCCCAGGGTTGTACAGGGTAGAGGCCATAGAGCCAGGCAGCTGGCCTGGGAGTTGTCTTGGATTCAAGGTTCAGAAGTGAGTTCTGGCTGAGAGTCTGAGTCTCAACCCCGCCCTCCCAGCACTGGAGAGGAGCTTGAGCCCCTTACCTTCAAGGCCTCGAGCTCCTGGTAGGCGTGGCCCAGCCAGGCCCTCCTCAGCTGACCCTCGAGCTGCCGCACGCTGTCCTGAAGCACTTGCTGTGCCTGGGCTGCCTCTGCCAGCGCCTCGGCTGTGGCCTCCGTCTGTAGCTGCAGAACATCCTCTTCCATCTGCTCCATGGACAGTGGTTGTTAGCAGGTGGCTCTTGTCTTTGTGCACCCAGGACGTTCCTGATTTCTTTATTTTCTTGAGTTGGTGTCTCACTCCATCGCCCAGGCTGGAGTGCAGTGGCACGCTCATAGCCACCCCAGCCTCGACCTGCTGGGCTTAGGCAATCCTTCCGCCTCAGCCTTCCAAGTAGCTGGGACTGCAGGCGCACACCACCACGCCCGGCTAATTTTTTGATTTATGGTAGAGAAGGTCTCACCATGTTGCCCAGGCTGGTCTCGAACCCACATGCTCAGGCAATCCACTCACCTCGGCCTCCCACAGTGCTGGGATAACAGGCTTGAGCCATTGTGCCCGGCCTCTTGCCTGATTTTATCACTGAAAATCTTGCATCCCTGGAACCCCATCAGACCCAGGCAAACCAGGACAGTTTGTTTTCCTAAATGTTAACTCCTCTTCAGGTTCCTACCCACCCCACAGTGTCCCAGCCATGGTGCCCACCTGTGTCTCCACCAGGCTTGTTCGGAGTTCCCGGGCTGTGTCCCGGCCCCGGCTGACTTCTTGCCGCAGGAGTTCCAGGGTGCGGTCATAGAGGTCCAGGTTGCGCCCGGCCTCTGACAGCCGTGCCTCTGTGGCCTTGTATACGCCATTGAGCGCCTGGCCCAGTTGCAGGGTTCCGTGGAAGAGCAGGGTTAGTTCTTCATGCTGCGCCAGCTCCTGGCTGCCCAGGGGGGCCCCCAGGGCAGGCTGGACTGCCGTTGCTAGGGCCCACAGCAGGCACAGAGCAAGCCCTGGCATGGTGGAGCCTCGGGTGTACAGCCACAGCGCCCGTGCTGCTGCCTTATATGTCCCCGCAGCTGCACCGCACCCCAGTCAATCGTTAACCGCCAGCCGGGTGCCCCGTGTTGCACAAGGGCCTGGCGGTGGTGCGATACTTGCGTCAGGCGAATGTCCAGCCTGACCATGCCGGGATCACGCTTCCCACAGCTCAGGGCCAGGTGTGGGTGGGGGGCACTGGGAGAGGACAGGCTCAGGGGATTGCTGGGGATCCTGGGCCTTGGTTTCCCAACTGTGAATTGGAACCTCAACAGGGACAGAATAATAGTGGTGCCTTGTTTTTTGAGTCAAGGTTTCATTCTGTTGCCCAGGCTGGAGTGCAATGGCATGCTCACAGCCACCCCAGCGTCGACCTGCTGGGCTCAGGAGATTCGTCCGCTTCAGCCTTCCTAGTAGCTGGAACTACAGGCATGCGCCACCATGCCCGGCTAATGTTTTGGTTTAATGTGGAAACGAGATCTCGCCAAGTTGCCCAGACTGGTCTCGAACCCCTGAGCTCAGGCAATCTTCTTGTCTTGGCCTTCCAAAGTGTTGGGATTACAGGCCACTGCGTCCAGCCTTTTTTCATTTTTTTATTTTTTTGGAGTCAGAGTTTTACTCTGTCGCCCAGGCTGGAGTGCAGTGGCATGCTCACAACTCACCGTAGACTGGACCTTCTGGGCTCAGGCCATCTTCCACCTTAGCCCCCGGGTAGCTGGCACGTGCTACCTCACCCAGCTCATTTTTAAATGTATTTGTAGAGATGGGGTCTTGCTATGTTGCCCAGGCTGATCTCAAACTCCTGGGCTCAAGCGATCCTCTTGCCTCCACCTCCCAAAGTGCTGGCATGACAGGCATGAGTCACCACACCTGACCAGTGAAGCTTTTGTGAGTACTGATGGTTTGCCCAGAGCTGTTCCAGCTGCCATGACAGTCTCTCCTCTTGCTTCCCTCCCACATGCTTGCCACGCAGGGGTCTTTATCGGCTGATTGGTAGCCAGAGAGCAGGTACAGGTGGCAGAGACCCTCCTGAGGCCACCTGGCCTGTCTCCGGGACCCCACATGCCCCGGATCCATGCCATCTGCTGCTGGACTCTCTGGATGACTGTGGGCCTGTGCCTCAGTTTCCCTGCCTGTGAAATGAGGGCGAGGTCTGCCTTGCCTTGCAGGCTCCTTGTGAGAAGTAAATGAGTTAGTTCACAAGGAGTGTTTAGAACAGACCGCGGCACACCATGGGTGCAGGCATCGCATTATAGGACTTGGGCTGGGTGCAGTTATCGCCACTGTTGTTACGTGCTGTTATGGAGGCTCTGCCGGAAGTCCTGATGCCCCCGATATACAGGGAGGGCACCTGCGGCCCAGAGGGAGGTTGGGGCTCGCACGGTATTGCCCTCCTGGGAAGGAGACAGGACTCTGACCCCAGCCCCTCCTTCCACCTCTGGCCTCAGTTTCCCCACCTGAGAGGCCACAAATCTCTACTGACCGCTCCTGGGGGAAGGATAGTCAAGCCCCGGGGTGGAACTCTGACCCTGAGCACCCAGCTGTCCCCTGCCCTTCACGTCACTGTGCCCCTTGAGTTCCCAGTCTCCGCCATGGTGTGCCCACATCCACACTTAGAGGTGGGTCATCTGTCTCCCACCCTGTGCCCGTCCCACCTCCCACCCAGTGCCGGTGTCACTGGCTCTCAGGGCCCGGCCTCGCGATCTACCCTCCTCAACTGTCGCCAGCCCCAGTGCAGCCTTGCGTGTACCTGTGGTCGTCCCCTGATCCCGTCCTGCCCCATCCCTGCAGGAACCTGCTCTACGTGTACCCTCACAGCCTCAACTTCAGCAGCCGCCAGGGCTCCGTGCGCAACCTCGCCGTGCGCGTGCAGTACATGGCGGGCGAGGACCCCAGCCAGGCTCTGCCGGTCAGTGACTGTGCCCCGGGGGCGAGGGGGGCATCCCCGGCTGGCCCCTCACGCACCTACCACCCCTCAGGTCATCTTCGGCAAGTCTAGCTGCAGCGAGTTCACCCGTGAGGCCTTCACGCCTGTCGTCTACCACAACAAGTACGGGGGACACGATGGTGGCATGCATAGGAGTCCGAGCAGCAGCACGCAGGCAGCTGTCCCTTATGTATACATAAGGCAGCACTGCTGGGAATGCAGGGGCAGGAAGGTAGTGGGAGAGGCACCAGGAGCGTGAATGGGGACGTTGAGGCAGAGAGCAGGGACAGTGGGGTTCTCTCCCGTTGGGGAAGCCATCGGGCAGACTGGGGGTCCCAACCCCCAGCAGACCCCCCGCCTGGTCCTGCCAGGTCCCCTGAGTTCTACGAGGAGTTCAAGCTGCGTCTTCCGGCCTGCGTGACTGAGAACCACCACTTGCTGTTCACCTTCTACCACATCAGCTGCCAGCCCCGGCCGGGCACGGCCCTGGAGACCCCCGTGGGCTTTACCGTGAGCCATCCCCGCCCCCTTCCCCACCCGCCCCTGGGCCTGGCCACAGTCCTGACGCCCCGTCTCTTCCAGTGGATGCCTCTGCTGCAGCATGGCCGCCTGAGGACTGGCCCCTTCTGCCTCCCCGTGTCTGTGGACCAGCCGCCTCCCAGCTACTCCGTGCTCACGCCAGACGTATGTCCCCAGAAGTGCCCCGAGCCCCCAGCCTGCCTTCCTGTCGGTGAACCCTGGGAGCCTTGTCCTCTGGTGCCATTGAGACTTCACCAGCCCCACTGGGGCCTCTCTGTTCCTATCTGTCTCCCACTGAGGCCCCCTCTTTGCCCTGTGCTCCCTTTGGCTGCCTGCCCCCAGTCCTGTCCCCTGAACCCAAAGCACCTCGTGGGTGGCCTGTGCCTGACTTAGCACGTCTGCAAATGCACTATTGCCCACGTTCACTGACATCCCAGAACTGCTATTTTTTTTTTTTCGGGGTCTCACTCTGTCTCCCAGGCTGGAGTGCAGTGGCATGATCACAGCTCACTGCAGCCTCCACCTCCTGGGCTCAGATGTTCCTCCAATCTCAGCCTCCTGATCAGCTGGGACTGTAAGCGCACGCCACCATGCCCAGCTAATTTTTTTTTTGTAAAGACAAGGCCTCGCTGTGCTGCCCAGGCTGGTCTCAAATTCCTGGGCCCAAGCGACCCTCCCACCTCGGCCTCCCAAAATGCTGGGATTACAGGTGTGGGCCACTGGGACCGCTGCTATATGACTTCTGGACTAACGCAGTAAACGCGTGCTCACTCGGTGTCTGTTCTCTGTCCCTGCCCTCAGCCTGGGCCCTCCAGCCTGCCCCACAGACCCCCACGGTCCCCCGGGACCGAACTGGGGCAGGGTGCCCGGCTGCCCCTCCAGGCCAGGCCACGCTACGCTCAGGTCATGGTGTTGCAATGGCTGGGGCCACTGGGTGACCTGATGGGGGAGGGCCAGCCCGTGGCCACCCACGCCTCCCTCCTGCAGGTGGCGCTGCCGGGCATGCGCTGGGTGGACGGTCACAAGGGCGTGTTCAGCGTGGAGCTCACGGCTGTGTCCTCCGTGCACCCCCAGGTACGGGTGGCACAGGGACCCAGGAACCCTGCCTCGCTCCCCTCTTGCCTGCCCTGGGATTGGGCAACCGCCGGTGGTGGCCAGGGAGGGCTGGCCTCGGGCCATGGACGTGACTTTGGTCAGCTGGGGCTGGCTCCCTGGGACGTTGCTGACTTAGGCAGGGATGGCCTTGTGTCCCCTGGGGCCTCCCCAGCCCTGCCCTGCTCACCCCACATCCCCTCCCAGGACCCCCACCTGGACAAGTTCTTCACCCTGGTACACGTCCTGGAGGAGGGGGCCTTCCCATTCCGGCTCAAGGACGCCGTGCTGAGCGAGGGCACCATAGAGCAGGAGCTGCGGGCCAGCCTGGCAGCGCTGCGCCTGGCCAGCCCTGAGCCCCTGGTGGCCTTCTCCCACCACGTGCTGGACAAGCTCGCGCGTCTCGTGGTGCGGCCCCCCATCATTGGCGGTCAGATCGGTGAGCCCACGTTGCCTCAGTTTCCCCATCGGGAACGTGGCTTCCTTGTTCCCCTGGCCCGGGGTGACAATCTCTGCCCTTTTTCTCTCCGATCTCAGTTTTCTTATCTGAGCAATGGCCCCAGTCCCCTGCGTCCTGAGCAGGTCCTCTGTGACCCCTGGATGGCCACGTGACCCTTTGGATCCTGATGTCTCTATCTTGGGAAGGTGGGCAGGGAGGCGAGAGGCCTTGGGCCCTGGAACTTGACCTCTGCTCTGCCCGGCAGTGAACTTGGGCCGTGGGGCCTTTGAAGCCATGGCTCACGTCGTCAGCCTCGTCCATCGGAGCCTGGAGACTGCCCAGGATGCCCGCGGCCATTGCCCACAGCTGGCTGCCTATATCCACTACGCCTTCCGCCTGCCCGGCACTGAGCCCAGCCTGCCGGGGGGTGAGTGTCCGTGGAAAACCCTCGGAGACAGAGATCCCAGCCAGCGAGAACAGAACTTGCAAAGGCTCTGGGGCCTTACAGGCCTTGACGGGCTTGGGCAACTCACAAGAGCAATCATATCTCTCCCAGTTTTGCCCTATCCCCTGGGCTGTGGGCGCTGTCCACTTGATTGGCAGATGGTTCAGCCAGTTAGCATCAGCTTCCATAGCTCAGAGCAGGGACTCACCCTGAGCTGCCTGGGTTTGAATCCCGGCTCTGCTGTCTTCGATCTCTATGACCTTGGCAAGTGACTTCACCTCTGTGAACCTATTTTTCATTTGTAGAACAGGAATAACAGTAGTACCTGCCTCATGGGGTCCCTGGTAGCAGTCAGTGATACAGTATTCTGTGCAGATTCTTAGCGCTTAATGAGCGCTCAATAAAGTTGGACATATATATTTTTTGAGTTGGGGTCTCACTCTGTCACCCAGGCTGGAGTGCGGTTGTGCGATCACAGCTCCTCACAGCCTCAACCGCCTGGGCTCAGGCGATCCTCCAGCCTCAGCCTCCCAGGTAGCTGGACTACAGATACATGCCACCACACCTGACTAGTTTTTTGATTTTTTTGTGGCGATAAGGTCTCTTTATGCTTTGACATCCCAAAGTGCCAGGAATGCACCGTGCCGGGCTGGATACTTTTGACATTTATCAAATAATACTAACCCAAACCCCCGTGTGCCTGGCATGAACCTGAGTTTTTCAACCCCCCCCCAAGTCACTATGAGGCAGCAACTGTTATACCCATTTTATAGGTGGGGAACTGGAGGCTCAGAGACGGAACGTGACTTGGCCACAGGCAGCTGACTAGGAAGAGACTGGGGGCTAGGGCAGGTGGGCAAGTGACTGAGGCTGTTTCCTGCATCCCCAGGGCCCCCTCCAGTGACGGTGCAGGTGGCCACGCTGGCCCGTGGCTCCGGCCGCCCCGCAAGCCTCTATCTGGCCCGTTCCAAGAGTATTAGCAACAGCAACCCTGACCTCGCCGTGGCCCCTGGCTCTGTGGACGACGAGGTTTCCCGCATCCTGGCCAGCAAGGTAGGGTGAGGGGACCCCGGAATCTCCAGCTTCAGTGGCTTCCTCGTGGGTGGGTGAAGAATCTCACCATGGATGGAGGACGGGAAATAGAGACCACAGCATGGTTGAGGCTGACTCTGGGCAGGAACTGGCTGTGGAGTCAGATACCGTGCTGGCTCTGCACGTCGGGCTGATGCAGGGGTGGGTGGTGGGCTTGGGGGCTGACAGGAAGCGGTGTGTACATGGGGTGGCAGGTGTGTACATAGCTGCATGTATCCACACATCTCATACACCTACGAACACAGCGTGTAATATGCACACACCCAAGACTGGGCGTGGTGTTACAAGCCTATAATCCCAGCACTTTGGGAGCCTGAGGTGAGAGGATTGCCTGAGCCCACAGATTTGAAACCAGCTTGGGCAACTTGGCAAGACCTCGTCTCTACCATAAATCAAAAATTAGCTGGGCGTGGTAGCGTGCGCCTGTAGTTCCAGCTACTTGGAAGGCTGAGGCAGAAGGATCGCCGGAGCCCAGCAGGTTGATACTGAGGTGGCCGTGAGTATGCCACTGCACTCCAGCCTGGGCGACGGAGTGAGACTCCAACTCAAAAAATATATATATATGCACACACCCCACATACATGCTTACACGGCTGCCTATACATGCACACCCCATGCACCTATTACATAGATGTATATAGGCACGCACCCCATGCACCTCCCCACATGGTGTATATACCAGTACACTCCATGCATCTACATACATAAGCACATCTTTCAGGCTTTCGTGGCACGTGTGTGGTCCACAGCAGTGTCCACGCTTGGTGTTTCACGCTGCTGTCCCCACCTTCCTGGGGATGCTGTCACTTTCCCATGTGTCTCCAGGGCATCGATCGCTCACACTCCTGGGTGAATTCCGCCTATGCTCCGGGAGGCAGCAAGGCTGTGCTGCGGCGGGCGCCCCCTTATTGCGGGGCCGACCCCAGACAGGTGCCCTTCCTACCTGCCCTGCACGCGTGTGACATCACCTAGCATGAAATCCTGCCGCCCTCCTGGCTGTGTCCGACTAACCCATGGGGGCTGCCTGGAGGAGGCAGCAGACCTCTCCAGCCTTCGTTTGAGGCTGTGTAGGCATCACTGGGTCATCTTAACCAGCCTTTTACTGTCATATTGGCCACAGGCCGAAACAGACAGAAGGTGTGGGGCGATATGCAAATAGCATGCAAATAATATGCAAATTAACCCACCTATACCCTCACTGCCCTGCATGGCCTGTTCACCTCCCTTTAATTCACCTCTGAGGGGACTCTCAACTGCTCCCTTGGCAGAGCCAACCCAAATGGCTCCAGGGGCCAGCATTGAACCTCTGGGCCCCCCGTCTCGATTCAGACAAAGCAGCCCAGGCACCTGGTGTGGGGAGGGGCTTCTCCTCCAGACAGACCTGGGTTCAAGTCCTGGCTCTGCTATGG